AGTTCTACACTTTCGTTAGAAACTTCGAAAGAAGGGATTTGGCCTGTACTGTCCGCGGGCTGCATAAACATTGATAAGGGGCCGTATGTGGCCCGCGGGCCGCAGGTTGTGCACCCCTGTTATAATTCTTACTCAACCTTTCTTTAACTTGATTCGTTAAGTCTATTACCCTGCTATTGACTTCTGTCAACAATTCCGGGTCTATATCAAACAGATGATTTTCCAATTCTCAAATAGTACTTAGTACGCCTTGTATTTCTTATTGCTTTTCTTAAACATGTAGAAAGGTTGAGTAAGAATTATAAGAAGAAATTAGGTTGGATAAGAACACAACAGCAAAGAAATGCAAAATCACAAGACTTGTCTACATGTTTAAGAAAGGTGATACAAAATACATGGCATACTAAATACTATTTGAGAATTGGAAAATCATCTGTTTGATATAGACCCGGAATTGTTGACAGAAGTCAATAGCAGGGTAATAGACTTAGCGAATCAAGTTAAAGAAAGGTTGAGTAAGAATTATAAATCAGTTATTCTGTTTGAGTATACAAAACATACAAGGTGTGTTTACTAAGTTCAGGGACTGAATTTATGTATGTTTGTTTGTATTGTTAGTTATGGCAACACAACATTTGGGCAATCTGCCTAGGAAGATGCTTTCTGGGAAGTCTTTTAATGGTAAATGGTCCCTATTCAGGCATTAAAGATGTGGAGGAAAACTGGAAAACTCCACGTGGCCAGCCCATCCTGACCAGGTGCAAATCCAACACCGAACTACCAGTGTTCAGGGAACGGAACCATTGGCCACTGGTGGGCCCCTGAATTTATATCTTTATAAATATTTTTGGCAGAAATGAATCAATTTAGTGTCCATCTCCAAAATATACTACTCCTTGATCTATACAAATTTTTGCACACATTAGTAATTTGCTTCTGAACTTACAAAGGGATCTTTTTGGAATGCTATTTAGTTTCCTTCATATAGCCTCCTGGATTTCTGAAATGACTAAAATTGTCTCCCTTTCAAAACAAATTTTAATTTGGAAAGTGGTCAGTTGTGGTTTGCTAGATTTGATTGAGGTTCCTCTTAATTTTTTTTTAAATTAACAGAAGCTTCAATTTGGTTATCCATGTTCCATCTGGAAAATGGGATAATATAGAAAATAGTTTAATCAATTTAAAAAATACATTCATGGTTGTTAAATTTAATTAACCCAAATTAAAATTTTTTTTGAAAGGGAGACAAAATTAGTCAATTTCAGAAATCCAAGAGGTTGTATAGAGAAATCTAAACAACATTCTTTTTATAAAAAATATAATGGAGCAGATTTAATACTACAGTGTGTTACAAAAGTATAGGAACACCATAAATTTTGTGTTTNGGATGTGAAGCTGCGGCTCTTTAGTTCCATACGCAAATATTATTTATTTTATAAAAAAAAACATTTAAAAATCGTTCTGAATCGATTAACGAGGATTCGGCACTGATTCTATCTCTCAGCCACTTGTACTCGCTTTTCATCGCACCCCTCCCCCGTGACACGCGTCGTTACTGTAGTCAGTTTGTCGGAAGCTCTCGAACGACGCCGTCGTTGGATGTTTCTATGAGGTATAATTTGCTTTCGACGCAAGACAATTCTGAATAAATAGATTAGTTTTTTATATCAAAACTTTATTTATGCAAGTACTATTTATTGTTGGCAAGAAAAAATTTTGTGGCTCTTTAAAAACTTTGAAATTTTGTAAATAGTAATTTTTGGCTCTTTCGACTCAAAAGGTTGCCAACCCCTGGGTTATCCGAACAACCTCAGTCCCCAATTGATTTAGATAAACGACGCTCTACTGTATAAAGTTGGTCAGGATAAGTCATGGAATTAGGGACAAAAAATTGAGGAGTTACCCTGTATTTTTGATTGGCCACAATATTTTTTTAGTGAAGTAATAAAGTAATCAGTTTCTTAGCGTGTCTATGAAACCTACAGCTTAACTGTTTGTACAAACTGCATAAAACTTCTTTATTATTCTTATGATCATCAGACTCATGTTGTACACTTTACAGTCTGTTACAAAAGTATAGGACACCACATATTTTGTGTTTTTTCAAATTTATTTAAATTTTTGTTTTAAAACATATAAAATTGTTTTCTAAACAATTGCAAAAATATTATTTTCAAGCTTTTTATTTTTAAACAATAATATAATAGAAGTTATCACAGTTTTTCACTTTTTACTTGTTACAAAAGTATAGGTACACTTTCTAAAATTACATAAAATTAATTTTTAACTATACTTTTTAACACTTTGAATATTTGGTTTCACTCTCCTTTGGCTACAATTACTTGAAAAATTCTGTTAGGCATGGAGTTTATTAATTTTTTTAATTATTCATCCTTAATTTCATCCCACGCATTATCATTGCAATTTTCAATTTATTTACAGTTTCATATTGTTTCCCATTTTGATAAACAATGGCTGCTAAAATCCCCCATAAATTTTCAATGGGATTTAAATCTGGACTATGTGAAGGCCAGTCGATTACATTAATATTTTCTTTTTTAAACAAATTTTTTATTTACTGCGGCATGAATGGGAGCATTAGCTTGTTGAAACTTCCATTTATGACCTCCAATTAATGCACCAAATGTAATCATATTATTATACAATAATTCTTAATATAAAGCAACCAAAGCCAAATTAACAAAAAAAAGCTAGAAGCGGCTATAATAATAATAATGTACATGGACGACATAAAACTTTATGCATCCACACAAAAACAACTTCATCAACTCCTACAAATCACACACTCATACACTAAGGANTCTTCGAGTTTAAGACCCATCCAACCCAGACTAAGTTCAGGAAGAGCATGAAGAAATACGTCTTAAATTGGGGCATAATATGGAGCCTACAATACTTTTTCGAAATAACACATTAATAATGAAAATCAACAACATTAAAAGAAATATATTTTAAACACTTTTAATGTTTGGTTTCAACCCCTTTGACTACAGTTACTTGAAAAATTCTGTTAGGCATGGAGTTTATTCATTTTTTTAATTGTTTACCTTTAATTTAATCCCATGCATCCATTATTGCAATTAAATAAATAAAATACTTTCTTACTGGAACCAAAATCAATATTAAAAAAAAATCTTTAAACATTCCAGCAAATTGTTTTTAATATCTTAAAAACGTTTTTGAATGCTTCAAGCGATCATCATCAGTTATTATATCATTATGAATCGAACGAAGAATTCGAAATTACGTAAACTAAATTCAAAAAGCATTTACACAAATTGGCATCTTTATGATTGATAGATTGATACAAGGCACTGTTGAACACAAACTGTATCAATCATAGGGATGCCGACAGAATGTCATCGGCGTGGATATCCTTCTATGATGAGTTGACGTAGTTTATATAAGTGGCAAAGTTAATTGTGATAGTTTTTTACTGGATGTATATATTTTATTTTCTTTATTTTGTTTTAATCAATTTGTATAGTTTCTGTGATTATTTAAGCTTGTTACTTGTTAATGTAAATTTGTGTAACTGCTTTTTGAATTTTATTTTACGTAATTTCAAATTCTTTGTATGATTCAGAATGATAACTGAGGATGATCGCTTGAAGCGTTTGAAAATGTTTTTAAGATATTAGAAATGATTTGCTTGAATGTTTAAAAGTTTTGTTTTTTTTTAATATTTTTTATTANTTCTAAAATTACATAAAATTAATTTTTAACTATACTTTTTAACACTTTGAATATTTGGTTTCACTCTCCTTTGGCTACAATTACTTGAAAAATTCTGTTAGGCATGGAGTTTATTAATTTTTTTAATTATTCATCCTTAATTTCATCCCACGCATCTATCATTGCAGTTTTCAATTGATTAACAGATATGAATTGTTTCCCATTTTGATAAACAATGGCTGCTAAAAATCTCTCATAAATTTTCAATGGGATTTAAATCTGAACTAATTGAAGGCCAGTCAATTACATCAATATTTTCTTTTTTAAACAAATATTTTGTTTACGTTGAGGTATGAATGAGACCATTATCTTGTTGAAACTTCCATTTATGACTTCCAATTAATGAACCAAATGTAATCATATTATTATACAATAATTCTTGATACTTTTCTGAGTTCACATTTTTGTCAACAAATACTAAATCAGTTTTACCTCCCCATCCAAAAGCACCCCAAATCATTACAGACTCACTCCCTTAATACCTGCTTATTTTAACTCTGCTTTCTCTTCTTAAATCATGCCAATAATATGAAAATCCATCAGAGCCATCTAAATTAAACTTCTCATCACTAAACATTATTTCTTGCCATTCTTCAGTCAATCCCATCTTGTCTTTAGCCCAGTTTAAATGCATTGATTTGTGTTTGGCAGTTAAAGGTGGTTTCAACTTCATTTTTAAATATTTTACATTGTCATTGTTTTTTAAAGTTCTCCAAACAGTCACAGGAGATACATCTACTGGTNAACACAAATAAAATATTGTTTATTTGTATAAGTATTTTTGTCATTCTTCATTTTTTCAAAAAGGTTTTTTATACAATTAAAATTTATAATGCTTACTTTTCTTAATAGTTAAAACTAAATGTAACAAGTTTAAACAAAAGTATGCCAGAAAGGAAAATTTGTAAATAATTTTCAACAGACAACAGAAGTTTATCTGGCAATTTTCCATTCATCTGGAAATATTAATAGTATGTGGTAACATGAATTCTAGTAGTAGTCATGTTTCAAATGTTCTATCTTTACAAGAATTACCATATAATAAATTAAAATTAATCATAAAATTAACTAAACTTTTGTCAATAAAAAATGGAATTACATTGTGTTTACATTAGCTATAAGAATTTTCTATACAATACAGGTTATTCTGTTATTACATTATATATACTTCTATTGGAAAAAAGTTATTCAATATATATCATGTAATGTTTAATCTTAAAGTAAATAGTGATTATAAAACTTACTGTTATATACATTGATGGAGGATGCTGATATTCAGCAAACCTTGCATTTAATGCTTCTAAATTTCCTTTTGTTAATCTGATCATATTCTGTATATTTTTCAGCTAGATAAATAAAAGAAATATAGTTTTAATCACTACTGTCTTAAATATGATTCATCTAGTCTATATAACATACATACATACAGTGGGGTGCAAAAGTAGGCATATAATTGAAAATCTGAGGAATACAAATGTTTAGTGTTCATTATTATTTTTTTTATTATCTTTTATTAGTTTGTATTCCTTACTTGTGATTTAATTTGTACATTAAATAAATGTTTTTCTTCCTATTTTCTCCCTGTATGTTTTTTTTTCCATAACAACAACTGCATACCTACTTTTGCACCCTCTTGTATATATAAAATTAATTAGGTATGACGTTAGAATCCTCACAACATTTCTTTGACAGAAAAAGCAGCAGCACTGGGAATCAATGAATTGTCAAATTTTTACACAAGTGAACAAAGCTTGTATGAAAATGGTGGTGCAATTGGTGCCAGATTATATACATATACCATGAGCGGCACAGCATTTCCACATCAATCTATAGCAGATCAGTCCAAATCACACACAGTAACAGATATACACTGGTGACCACCACCAAATCACAGTACGCATGAGACCTTTGCCCCCATAATCCCACCTCACTGCTTGCAGAGATCATTTCAAAATCACTAAATGATACACCATTTTAAAAAAAAATCAAAATTCCACCTCTCCCACCTTCATTGAACAACACTCAGTTCTACTGACCACTAGACTAGCTCCACATGAAAAGAGAAATAAAAATAGAAACAGCAACTCCAGGAATTGAGGAATTACAAAATTTTAGTTTATACTGGGAATAAGGGGGCAAAGCAAATGACAGATTGTGCCATCTAAACAGCCAGAGAAATACATAGTAATGTGGCATCAGAAGTCAATGAATTGTCACAAAACTTTTTAACAAGCAAGCAAAGTGAGCAAGAGCGAAGCCCCTAGTTATATATAATAAAGATTTTAATAAAATTTACAGTCTGTTACAAAAGTATAGGAACATCACAAATTTTATGTTTTTTTTTTTAATTTACAGTCGACCCCTATAACATGGTAGACACGTTCCGGTTTTTATGAATCCATTTTCTAAGAGTCCAGCCAATCACAGCCAGGCATGTATGCAGTTTATGGACTATGGCTGTTTGAAAGGTTTCTTCCATAAAATTAATCAATTCTAGACTAATTTGACTCAACATTTCCAAAATACATATAATTTTTTGGGAATAATCCATATAAGCTTTGCTATAAACAAAAAATTGTAGGATTACTTACTGNCCACTCAAATAATAAATTTTATGTATTTCATGCTCCTGAAGTATAGTTCTACGAAGCATTGTTGAAAATGTTTAACATTCAATGAAACATTCAAAAAAGTTACCATGACATTTAAAAATGATGACATCTCACCCTAGTTGTGATAATTTTAATTATTATTATGATAAATTAATTTTTCAGAGACTTTTAAGTGGTGTACCTATACTTTTGTAACACATCAAAAAATGAATATTTGTGAAAAAAAATGTATGCTGCTTTATGAAATGTAAAAAAACCTGATAAATAATTAAAATAATGATAAAAAATAATTGAAAAAACACAAAATTTATGGTGTTCCTATACTTTTGTAACAGACCGTATTTGTTGGTTTTAGCTTAAAAACAAGCTTTAAAAATAATAAAACTAAAAATTGTTGATTTCATTTTTTTCCTTATCAGAGTCAAAGAACTTGCACTAAGAATACTCAGAACAGAAAAACAATCATTTATTTACAAAAAAAACAGGGTCATCTGGGAAATAGAAACGCAAATAATTAAGTCTGCAATAAGGTTTAAGAATAAGAAAATTTTCTTACTAAAGAAACAAATAAATAGCTTGCAGAAGGATAAACAAATAAACCAGGTAACTGACTGGCTATACAAAAAGGAGGAGGAGATGAGATTGCAACATTTATTCGGATATCCTATGTTAATCAAAAAGAGAAACTGGCAAATTAAGTTAATAGTTAATAAAACAAATTAAAAAATACCAACACCAGTACAGTGTGTCGTAAAATACAGTGTTTCGGAATTACGACTGAAATACAATATGCTGCTTAATGAAAAAGCTATTAGCATTGCATCAGAAATTGATAAAGCTATTATGCAAATGAAAATAAAGAAAAAGGAAAAAAGAAATTTGAAACATCAAATAAAAGGAGATTTGAAAAAACTAGGAAAAGAAACTAAAGGTGAAATGATAATATATGATAACATAGGAAAAGAATACTATAAGAAGTGCAATTTAGTAAAGACTTTTAAAATAAGAATAATTTAACTCTGATTAAAGCAGATAAGGTGAATCAAATTATAATAGTCACAAAGAACTGGAAAAATAGAAAAAAATGGCATTAGTGATAACAAATGAATTTGAAGAATTACAACAGAAATAATTAAAAATTGGCTAAAGAAAGAAATTAATAATTTATATAAACAGAAGAAATTAGTATTAGGTGAAAAATAAAAAATACAGTAGAGCGTCGATTTTCCGAATCAATTGGGGACTGGGGTTGTCCGGATAACTGATATTTCGGATAACTGATATTTCGGATAACTGATTTACGTACGAAAAAATAGTTTAACGTATCCGATGACGAAATTTTTATCCGTTGCATGTCGCTTTGCGTTGAATTTTCGTCGATGTTAAGCCTAACAAAGACTATTGTATCGTTAAAAATTATTTTTTTATTTTGTACAAACAAAATAACTATATTGAAAAATATAAAAATAATAAAAAAATTATACTTCAGATGTTAATTTAGTATCAAAAACGTAAAATATTTGAGTAGCCCAAGACATAGCCAAAGATTGAAGCGCCACAGCACTGGCGAAAAATTAAACTTGCCAACTGGAATTCTTTCGGATGATTGACTTTCGGAAAATCGACGCTCTACTGTATTAAACTTTACTGAAAGTAGATAGATAGATAGAGAAGGCCTTACCCACAGGTATAGCCAAGGATAAATGGGGGAATAAAGGTAGAAGAGAGGGAGGAGGGCAGGGGGAAGAAAAGAGCGGGAGGAATCTCAAGATGCCAGGCTGGGAACCGTTTACAACCAAAAGGGGTGTGCCTAACGTTACTTAAAGAGTAGCCAATGCGTTGTGCCGGCAGAATAAACATGGACATAATAATACAATATCAAAGTACAGACACCGCATGTACATATATAGAATAGAACAAGATTACAAAATACCCTGGAAGTATGACAAGAAACAATTGAAAATTCCTAAAAAGAAAACTAGGGTAGATCTCGAGCAAGTACCAAAACAGCTTTAAACCCGAAAGGAGCCGCTATAAAGGAAATCAACAATACACAGCGGCTAAATGACACAGAACCCAATACTGATACACGTGGAACTGAAGAAAGTCAATGCCCATCCAAGGGTGGCTACACTAGTTGAGTATTTTAATATTGAAGATAAAGTTCTTGAAGGCCATGAAAATGTTTTTGTTGCTGATTAACAAGTCCAGAGTACATGGCCAGATGATGTTCTCCTTACACATCATATTGATGAGATGTGTTCTTTCCTGGAGGTAATTAGGGCAGTAGAAAATGATGTGGTAACTGTCTTCTTTCTCCCTAAGAGGGCAGGGGCAGTACCTCTCACCTTTCTTCAAGAACCAAGCAAGGTAGGTCTTAAGATTACAGTGTCCTGTCATTATTTGAGTCAGTTTGTAAGACGGAGTGAAGTACGTGTACTTTTCCTGTCAGCCAGAACCGGAAGGAATTGGTGAGTGACCCTTCCTGTTGAACTATTACTCCACCTATGCTGCCATTTGTTGAGCACGATGGCCCTTAGCTGCTTGACCAACCAGCCAAGGGGGACCTTCGTATAGTAACTATGTAGGTTAACCATGGCTTTCTTAGCCAGCAGATCCGCCCGATCATTTCTCCAAATCCTGGAGTGCCCTTTGACCCAGAATAAGGTGATATTGACGATCTTCTGGAATGAATTTAGAGAATCAATAGTTTCTTTAACAATAGGGAGATTTATATTAGAGTTCTTTATCTGTAACAGCGCAACCTTACTATCACTAAAGATATTTAGATGCCTTTTCTTGGGCTTACCAAATTCCTTCCCGATATATTGGAGGGTCCTGAGGATGGCCAGGACAAGGCCTGGTTAACTGTACAATGATTGTCCATCCTGAAATAATTCTGGTAGTGTAAGTCATTATCATTACTGCAGATGACAAAGTATCCACCGACACTGTTGTCTGACCGAGACCCATCTGTAAAAATATTAATCTCCCAAGGGGCAGGGTAGTGGTTGTTGAGAATAACATTATAACTGCAGGTTGTGGCTGGGTGGTGTGGATTGTTATTACTGTCCCTGTCAAACCCTTTCTTAAGGATAAAATTGGTGATATTGCTGATGCCATCACCTTCACCGAGGCCTTTGATATTCCTTTTGTAGTCCTCCATAGAGATGTCTTTGCCCAGAAGCCTTTTAAGGTTGTGAATTAGAAACTTTTCCTCAATATGCAGGTCAATCAGAATGAGATCCGCAATTGCAAGGAGTCCATCCGTGGGGGCGGTTTTATAGGCCCTGGCAATGTGGATTGCTGAAAGCCTCTGCAAAGAGAGCAGCTTCCTCTGGATATGAACTTTCTTCACGCAATAGCCCCAGACCTTGCAGCCATAGCCACTGCAATTTATTGGGTGACTGCCTTATAGGTGATCCTCCTTGCCTTATAACTGAGCCCCCATTTATTCCTACAAATAGTAGCCAGAGCATATGTAATCCTTGTTGCTTTTTTATAGATATGGTGGATGTGTTCCTTCCAGAGAAGCTTATAATCTAAAAGAACTCCCAGATACCTGATCACACTCACATTATCAATCCTTTGTCCATTAATTTTGATGGTACTGAAAGTAGGGATCCACAACTTAAAATTAGATTATTTAATTAACACTGATGAAACCAATAGACTTTATTTCACCTTTTTGAAGTCTGTCTTAAATGAATTTGAAAAAATTAATTTTTTCTTTCAAGAAGAAATGGCAGATCATTTTAGAATACTTGATGAATTATGCAGCTTTACATTATCAATGCTAAAAAGAGTTTTGCTTCCTAAATTTGTGAAACTTGACATAGATTTAAATAATGAATCTCATTATCTGTCAAATGAAAAGGTTGATTTTGGCAAATAAAGTTATATCAAATGAAATTTCTTATGAACAAGCAGTTATAGTTAAAGAAAGATGTTCAAACTTTTTGAAAATAGCCTGTAAAAAAATTCTTACTCACATACCTAAAAACACCAAATTACTTAAAACAATTAGTTTTATCTCCCAGCATTTGTTTAAGTCCTACTTATCCTCCATTTTAAACTCTTTCCTTAGCTCTGGCTGATTAATCCAAAATTGAAGAAATACAGTCAATGGCAGCATCTATTGACAGTAGACTGGACAAGTATTTTTCCATATAATGTTCCAACCAATACATCAGAGTTTTGGTGCAAGGTCTCAACTATTAAAAATGCTGTAGGAGATCCTACATTTTCCTAAATATCAAAGTTTACATTGTGTTTATGTTGCTTGCCAATTAGCAATGCCATAGTGGAGAGTTTTCTCTATGGTGCTTCAGTCAAAACCAGAATGAGGTTTGACCTTCTAGCATCAATTTTAAGGATAAAATATTTTTCAAAAATGGAAACATATTCTGCTTTAACTTTAACCAATACCATGCTAAATTTTGACTCAAAAATTTATGAAAAAGAAGCAAGTGAAATAGGAGATAATGATATTTTAAATGCATTAAACTTTTAATTTTTAAAGGTAATTACACTTTTCCTATAAAATTTGAGTACAGTCGACCCCCCTATAAGATAGAGATACGTTCCATTCTCTAGGAATCCGCTTTCTTACGAATCCTTCCAATCACAACCCGACACGTGTCAAGTTTACGGACTACGGCTGTTTGAAAGATTTTCTTCCATAAAATTAATCGATTCTAGACTAATCCGACTCNATCATCTTATATGCAAGTAAATATGGTATTTTATCATTGTTCACAATTAAAAATATTGCCAAGATTTAGGCATTAAGAAGATCAATTTATATATATAATAAAACTTTTAATGTAACTCTAAATTTATATTAATATAATAGTAATAACAATAATAAATTATTGAATTTATTGATTTATTTATATAATATCGATTTAATACCTTTATCAACTTTAATCCAGTGCTTGTTTCTAACACAGTTCTTTTTTCTTTTAATTTATTCTGCACAAGTTTTGGAGGATAATATGTACGAGGACCTTTATGTACTGCAAATAGAATGTCTAAATCTCTAGGAGTGTTTCGTTTTTGTTTACCATTTTTGCTGTCTGATGGCTGTATACTGATAATTTCTATGTCTTTTATTCGTACATTTAAAATATTTCTCAAACCTCGCAAAAATCCCTTTCGATATGTAAGAACAAAATCTTCAGGTGTGACACTGTTTAAACGAACACCAATACTATTTTTCAAAGATTCTTCTGTAACTATTCCAACATTAATTGATACTGAAGAATATGCAATAAATTTTCCATCACTCACACTGATGTTGAGGTTATATGTTCCGACATCTAACCCAGGAAAAGCAACCAATGTGCCATCTTCACGATCTATCCGGAAAAGACGCTTGTGAGCCGAGACAATATCATATGAAAGTTTGTCATAAGGATCTTTATCTGTTGCGTGAATGCGACCTAATACCATTTCGGGGAAATCATCCAAATATGAACTTACAGAAACATCTAACGGCATTACTATAGGAGAGAACTGACTCTCTTCAATAATCACGACATTAACCCAAGTTTCACTCGAAAGAGGTGGTATACCATTATCCGTAACACGAATACGAAGAGAATATTTATCGTGATGTTTATGATTAAATTTGGTTGCTGTCCGTAGGCTCGCTTCGTGTTGTACAAGTCGAAAAGCATTATCTTCGTTTCCAGAAAGAAAAGTAAATATGAACGGACTAGTGTTGGGTGGAGCATCAGTATCAATAACAGAAAATTTCAACACCATAAAACCAAGAGGCTTTCCTTCCTAAAAATCAAACAAATATATCTATAATTATTAAAATGATTTAAATTGCTAAATTAACATTAAATGCCAGAAACAAGATATAATATCAAAATTTGCTTATCTGCAATGATCTCTAAAATTAAAAAAAATTAAGTATCATAATTTTGATGTTTAATGCTATTTGTAATTTCTTTGGTTATGCATTTGATCTCCAGCAGATGGCATTAAAAATTTCATGCGTTTTCTGTGGGAAAATCCTTTTCCAAAAATTCTTGAAAATGGAAATAGATAGAACCAGTTTCATTTCATTAGAATCCTATTTAATTTTTCTATTAATGTATGGTTTAGAATTTTGATAAAATCAAATTTGTTAATTTTCTATGAATTTTTAATGTCATAGAAAATTTCTACAAAATTAACAAATTCAATTTTCAAAATTCTGATCCAAATGTTAATAGAAGAATTGGTACTTTTTGATTAAAGAGACACCAGTAGACTATTGCGTTTAACAATTTAGCCCACATGCCCAATGCCAGCTTCAAATAGCCCACTACACTGTTCATGGAGTATTTAATGCTATATAGTTTTACAGGGATGTGGGAGCCTCACCAAGACACATGTAGAATAGGCAGTAGACTGATACATGTTAAAAACTGACCTGGGGAGACTAATATGATGCAAATGGTCAACAATTCTGGAAGTGGTGTAAAACTCCTCATTCAGAGTTTGAATCTTATCTGTTGTTGTACTGTACATATCAGCTGGCATCCCATTAACTAAACATGGCATTCCATTAACTGAAAAGCACCAAATTAAACAGGATTCTAACACAAAAAACTGATTCTATCTACTTCTGCTTTTGAGAATTTTTGGAAAAGGATTTTCCCAGAGAAAAAGCATTTAATTTTTACTGCTTTTTACTGTAAGCAGCAGTTGTGGGTTCAAATCTCACTCCAGGCTAATTCTTTTCTTCCAGAATATTCTAAATTATCTAATATATATTAATCTATTTAAAATTTTTACTGCCATCTGCTGGAGATCACATACATAACTAAAGAGGTTATAATCAGTCATAAATAAATAAGTAGATGAATGTGATTAAGAAATATCTTTCCTGAAAATTTTAAGAAAGGTAATTAGCTAAAAATAATCATTACATAATTTAAACCTTAAGTCACAGCCTAATGATTATGTAGCACTATTATTATATGCTACATTTTCTTTTCGTTAAGAATTTTATTTTAAACATATTAAATCTTTATGAAGCATTTAAATATCCTATTTATAAATAATAGGGTATAAGTATCCTATTATGTAATGTTACTTTTACATTATTTCCAGTTAAATTTAAAAAATTATAGAAACAACATATAGATATCTATTTTTTTTGGTTAAAAATAAACAATTTCTAAATATTTCCACACTTTCAGTGAAAATAAGAGCATGACCAATTAGTCATAAGGATAAAAACATATGGTAGATGTAAAATAGATGGAATACCTTCTCAATAATCATTCATTTGTTTATATTCTTTTCAAAAATACAAAAATTATTTCACTGAATATAACAACAACATCTGTATTATTTAAATTATTTCTATTATTCAAAATTAATTTAATAGAACATGTTGCAAATTTATATTTAGTAATGCAATCGAATGTTATTTTTTCCATATTTAATAAAGAATTTTAAATATAAATAGGTTTTTTTTTTAGAATTCAAAATTACATTTTAAATTTAAGAGATGGCAGCTCATATTCTGAAAAATAATATATTTAAACAAAATTATTACAAAACAATTGTAGAATTACAAATTATTATAGATTTTGTTTATAAACAGTTATTTTAATAGAGTCAACAGAAGATATATGCAAAAAATGATTTATAGATGTGTATCAGTTCATTGGATTCTTGTCTGATGTGATCAACAAAAAGATATGTTGTTGCTATAGACAAAATACATTCATTTGAGTGATTATATCATTACTAACAGTTAAAAAAGGGAGATTAAATTAATGTAAATGAGACATTTACATGATAATTTAATGAGAATAAACACAGGATTGAATTCATATTCGATTTTAATTACATGACTTATCTCTCAGTACTTTAAATTTACAACTTACTTCCTGTATCACCATAACACTTAAATAACGAAATGAATACTTCGAAATCATTATTAATAATTTTTAAATACGTAAACACGTATTAAAAATAGTTAAATTACAAACCTCACTAACAGAAATAGCAAATGAAATTATTAACACGGCAGACTTCAAAAACATCATATTCGATTCGTAACTTTCACGCCAGACGAATGTTAACCAAAATTAATGTCATTATCTAAACTAAAATCCGATTGGTCGTTCCAGGAAGGATAACTATTGCTAACCAATAAAAATATCTGTAATAACAAACGTATTCCCGTATTAGGTTAATTTGGAGCGTCTCCGTAGATCGGTCTGAAAAATTATATATATATTATTATCATCTTTAGTAAAAAGTATTTTTTATAACAAAAAATTTCTTTTTATATTACTACAAATATTTTATAAGATAAAACTTTAAATTATAAAATTTTTCGTTAGATGTTTTAATACTTACGTACTAGAGTAATAAGTATTTTTGTAAAATGATCACTGATTGGTGAACGAAATGTAAACATTGCAATATCGACCAATAATACGTTGATTGTCATTATTTGTCGATCATTTTTGTACCGAGTAGTATCTGAAATTACAGTTCACTTGCAAGAGAGGGAAGTTTCTTTGTCATTTGCAATATTTGATGTGCATTATTTTTAATCAAGGAATCAAATTTCAGTTCATATTTTGTTAATGTTAATATTGTATTAGAAAGAGCCAGTTGAGATGATGAAAAACTCGTTTAACTTCAAGATTTTCATTTCCTTGTTAATTCTATTGATAAAAATTAGTTGCGTAAGTAGTTTTCAAATTACTTTAATTTAATATAATGGTATATAATCAATAGTTAAATTAAATTATAATATATTGTGACTGTCCAATGATTTTGACTTTGATATAACATCATGATGCAATACACTGTTTATACATTACTATATTCATGTTTTAAAACAAAATTGTATGTTTATTTATAAAAATATGAAATGTTTGCTTAAGTTAAAAGAATATAACTGAAATTATATAACAGATAATCAAACTGTGAAGTCATAACAATAATTATAGGTAAAATACCCTTATATAATTCAGTTGCATAAGAATACCTTAAAGGGATGGCTTATAAATCATGTATATGTTTTGAAATAATTACAATAAATAATAATTCAGAAATTAAAGCATAATTTAAGTGTTTCTTTTTGAAAAAAGAGTTGTTACTAAGCATACATTTTGCCTTGGATTGTATGTGTATAACATTCTTTGGATTATGTAAGTTACAATACCATTGTTCTTTCTTGTTTTATTTTCTTTATTGCAAATATACACCATATAATTTTTAAACAATTGTGTGTTCAATTAAAAAATGTTTGGTACTTTTTGGTTAACTGGGCAACATTCAATTTTCAATCCAGAATGAAAAAACGAAGTTTAATTTCACATTTTTTACAGATAAACCTTATTTTGCAAATATATGTATAAACATATTCATTGTAATATTAAACATGTGTGAATTACGAAATAAAATATCGATTTCGCTAAAAATAATAGTAAAATTGACTGGCGCCCAGTTAACAGAAAAGTACCAAAAGTTTTTAGTTTATTGAAATTATTGGTTACAAAGTGGGTTTTGATGTGACATTTGCTTAGAGCAAGCTGAAGAAATTACTGCTTAACAAAATTCAATGAACATAAATTGTAATTTTTGGTTATAAAAAAGCCATCTGATATTAGATTTAATAGATTTTGAAATGTTTAAATTATAATTAATATAAATAGTGTTTAACTTTAAAAATTTGTTTATTTATGTTTTGAAGTTAACCACAAAAACTTCATAATATTTTATATAAAAAACAATTTGAACAGCTTTTAACAATATAGAAGACTATGGGCTGATTATTTAAATCTTTAACAGAAGACTAATAAATTTGATAAAAGTATAAGCAATATAAAAAACAGTATGCAAAGAATAAATTAAGGCTTTTTAGATTACTGGTAATATAATTTAATTTAGATTATTAACCAGTTCCAATGCATATGCTGCCAATGAGGAATCTGGAAGTATTTTTTATCGTAAACTCATGCTTCTTCATTTAAGCACTGAGAAACTATGATGTAGCTCCAATGTACTTTAAATCTTTATTGAAACCTATTATCCTGATGGGATTTATTTACAGTGAACTCCTGTATTATACAAATTTGTGTAAAGTGATAAAAAAAGAACTTGCGACTAGTAGCTTACTCATACAAAATTGCAATTTTGTTATCCAGAGATATATATTTCCATCTTTATCGTCTAGACCTAGGTTTAAACTTGCATAAAATCATCTGATAATGCATGTCTTGATAAAACGATTTCTTGTAATGTGGAACGTATCCTTGCATTGTATGTGACTTTGCTTTATTTATTTATTTATTATACAGTTGAATGGAAATGTGTGTTGACAGTGGATTTCCACTCCCTTTTGACAATTCCTTTTTATTTCTGTACTGGGAATGCTGTGCATTCCAGTAATCAGGTTTGTCCATCATTTGTTCATCATATCCTTGTTATTTCTGAAGGATCTATAAATTGTTGCATTTTTTTTAATAATGAATACTGATATTGATGTTCCTCACTGTACCTTGGTATTTTTTGCAAATTCTTGAAGTTTAAGACCATAATGTTGTCTGTGCATTGAGTCTGGTGATGCTTGTATTTTTGCAGACAAACTGATCAATTGATCTATGATTTTTTTTGAGTATCCATATGCAATGGCAATCTTTGATGATATCCTCATATGGCACAAGAAAACAAACATGCCAATTTTTGTATGATATGAATAATAATTCTTAGGGACTAATACTGAATTTGGAGCAAGAAAGTTGATCACGATGCATTTTTTTATACCTACAAATCATCACCAATATATAATGAAAATGTTTGTTACACCATTATGTTATTCATACTAGCTGTTTCAAAAAAATCCACATTATTTCAAGATCATTGCATTTGCTTCCCTCATATAGTGTGAATACATTCGTTACTCAGCATCCTTGATATATAAAAGGAATTAAACTACATCAGAAAGATTGCCATTAGGCATGGCTACCCTAAAAAACTCATAGATTAAGTTTACAAATGCTACAAGCACCATTAGACTCAATGCACAGACAACATTATTGTCTTAAACTTCAACAAGAATTTGCAAAAATATGCAGAAGCATAGTGAGGAACATCACCACCAGTTATTAGAAAAACCCAACAATTTACAGACTTCTCAGAAATGACAAGTAAGTGATGGACAAGTCTACAATCCCTCAAGTGTACAATATTTCCTTTAAGAATAATAGGTTCAACAAAAAGTTAAGAGTACACTAGAGTACTGTTCGGATAAAATCGTCCGCCACACAATTTCCTGCGCTTTTCCATTTTTTGACGAACGACGGTTATCACCATAGAAACAGCAATTTGACAACTTTTGGAAACTCGACCACGGATTGGTTGAAAGACATTGAACCATCAGCGGACGTCTTGTAGCGCTACTAAGCACTGATTGGTGGAAGCCGATTTACTTCAATCCGTATAAAAGGATTGAGTTGTGGCGGGAAGTTTAGTTCGCCTTGGACACGTGAAGGGAACTCACGTTTGACTTTAGTTTGCCTTGGACACGTGAAGTGGAATCACGTTTGACTTTAGTTCGGACATATCAAGGGAACTCACGGTCGTTCTAACTTCGCCTAAGCTGACCTAGAAGATTATTTCGTCTCACTCTGCGGTAAATAACTTTAAAGTTTGTCGTCGCAAGGTGTCTTTTCGATGAACCTGTTGTAGTGGATACATGTGTTGAACTTTGTTAACATCTGACGTTTTGTAATTGTTATTTGTGAAAATTTTTGTAACTGTACATACATTTACTTTCAATATATATATAAGTTTTGAATTTAACTGGCTTATGTGTGTGTTTTGAATTTGACTGCTACATTATAGTCTCTAATGGCTTGACTGATGAAACACTATTGCACCATAAAAAAGAAACTTTCAATTACCTTGTTGGCAGAATTCAAATTGGAATGGGTTATTCATGTTAACATACAAGGAACTCGCTTAATATGACCAACCTATAATATGTTGTAGAGTTGAGAGGGATTGAAACCTTACAAATCTACCAGTTATTTTCCAAAAAATATTACATTGGTTGACAGATTGCTATTGTAGCTTAAAGGTCAAGAATTCTTCATTCAGTTATATCAGTTCTATAATCTACTGTAGTTACACTGTATTTTTGCTTATACATGAATATTTATGTAGAAATATTTAAGGTCTTTTGATCATTTCATAAATTCCTTCAAGGACAACTCATAAAATGGTTGGAAGGTATAGAAACATTTTAAATGTTTTCATGCTTCATGATGTACATTTTACTTACTACTAGTACATTTCATTGAAAGAAATAGAAATTGATTAGTATTATTTTTAAGTTAATCAGTTTTATTAGTATACGTAGATGTATTCAGAATATATCAAATTACTCTTAGAAGACTTATTTTGTTTTAACCAAATTGAGTAAAATTTCAATTTATATAAAGAAACTATATTGTTCAATTTTAACTTTATTTTCAAAAAATGTTCTATTTTCTTTATAAATCATGGGATGAAGTCATCAGGAGACCATAATAGAAGAAAATGGACTATGCCCCAGGCTTGTCAAAAAACTGTTATTTTATTATAACTTTATTTTGTTTTCTTAATCAACTTTTTTCTTTTCATCTATCTATGATATTCTACATTCTAAAACTATAAAATTAGGAATGTAAAATTTATATAAATATATACATAGAAAAGAATATAGATATTTTCATTCTTACCTTTCTTTTTTTCTATTATCTCTTCCTTCACTATAAACAAATTGTTTCTGTACATAGGATTACAAATATTTTTAATACTGTTTTTATGTGATTTTCAAGTTAATTGATGAAGATGAGTTAATCCTAATCAAGTCTTTAAACTTGATTAAACTTTTTTATCTGAAGAGAACAGAGTTAGCTAATTCAAATCAATATTCTAATGACTGGGTTACTTTAATACCATTTCTGCAACAATTATGCCTCTGCTGAAATGAACAAATGCAAGAATAATGTCATATTAATCTAAACCAAGTTGAATTCTATATGAACATTATCTTGACTTATAATCTTGTTATTCTCAGTTCACTTAATTGGGATAAATCTCATCACAGTTAACATTAGTCATTTAAATGTAGTATATTTTTTTTCTTAAGTCTGAAATTATTTTTAGTCTTAAGCCTCAAAAAAGCAGTATCTGCTTAGATGAAATATAAAAAATGATTCACTCAAGACTGAACACTTTATTCAATTATTGCATGTGCTTCAGATTGCACAGTCACATTTGAATAATATGTACAGTAAAATCCTGATTATTGGACTAATTCAGGCAAGAGCTGGTGTTTGTTATCTAATAAAGTAGCTTTTCCAAAAGCATGTGTTAAAAATGTGAAAAATTAGTTAGTTTATGTTTTTACTTATGTAGATGTGCTTGTGTAATTAAAATTAAGTATGCATGAGAAGTTAAATTTCTCAGAAAATTTTTCTATATGTATTATTGCTTATTCTTTATTTGGTCAGAGACTGGTCTTGCTAGTAGTATTTTTTCTTAAGTGGTCTTTTTTAAGGACAAGCAAAAAGGAAAAATTTAAAAGGCTAATTTGTACTGCCAATAGGACATAACGACTGGCAACAGGGGCATAGAAAAAGATAGTACTATAAAGCTGGAAATTATTAGCAGTAGCAAACAGTTTTATATA